CAGTATTCACTATTAGCAAAATGTTGGCATCATTAAAGTGTCCCTTTTATGACTTTCTTTAGTTGACTAGAAAGGCTTACCAATTAATTAAAAAATGCATGTACTTAAACCAAAATATTTTCACAAGGTAATATCTCCTTGCTTTAGGTAAAATAGCAAGTCCAAGGCAAACAGGAGACATTGATTCTATGTCAATAGATTATGATTTTATCCCTCTTTCAATAAGTGGTCAAATGGAATGTTCTTATTCATTTTATGTGAAGAATGTTGAAGTGGAAAGAAGTTGTTCACTAAATTATTATTGATTTACCTATTATTTTTAATAGCCTTAGAAAATCAAATCCTAATAGAATTTTGACAGGAAGAAACTATTTGCCATTAAATAAATCCTAGCATATGAGGTAAATTTATTCTTTAGTTTGATTGATGAGATATAATTCTAATATCTTTAAATTTCCTTCTAAATATAGTAGTCCTTTGTGATATTAGACATGTAAAGTTTGTATGGTTATGTGTTTTGTAATATATTTTCTAAGAAAAATGGATAAAACTTTCTATATAAGTCTCAGCTCTTTGAAGAAATAGTACTATTTTCACATTGACAATCAGTCTTATATCATTCCCTGAACACTTGAAGAGCCTGCAGGTTTACAACGTTAATTCAAATTTTAAAATCAAAATTTGGCAAGTGAATATAGTTCAGTGTAATTGAAACTTGCCCAAATTTATATTTATTTGATAACAATTCTGTGACATTCTAGATTTGATTTTTTTTTTGTTTTTTATTCCTCAAACAGCCTATAGCATGTTTACTTCCTCCTCCAAAGTGTTAGATTTCCAGCAGACAACTAAGGGTTAAGTATTTAATTGATATTTTGAATTGGTCAAGGACCACACTCACTTGGACTCCCGAGCCTCTTGGTCCTATTTTGAGAGTGGCCTGCCCCATATAAGCCATAATACAGTTTGTAAATTGTCCAACTTAGCTGTTCAGCTGCCGTAGCCCAAAGTTTAAAAATATGTAAGTGGGTCAGTTCTAAAATTAATGCAGCCTAACTTTGCCTGAAAACACTAAGAATATTACCCATCACAAGAGCTGAAGTATCGCCCCCAAGCAGACAGAAACAATCCCTGGAGAATGACTGCCCAGGATGATGGCTCTGTGACATGCTCACTCTACTCTCCTGTCTGCAGCCCTTGATTACAACCTAGGGTGCTCTGATCCTGCTTTTCAGACAAGAACGATGTTGGTTTTAGCTGACATGCAAATGAAAATAGGCTGATCAAATGAAGCACAGTTAAATGATAACAATCACAACTAACATTTATTGAGCATTTGTAATTTACCAGACACACTCCTTTAATCTTCTAACAATTAAAAAAGAGAGGCATTATATATGCCTATTTTACAGATTTAAAAACTGGGTTTGTATAAGAGGTATAGCTGGAACTTGAAGAAAAGCCTCAAAAGTCTGTGTCCTTAATCACCACATTATACTGCATTTTGCATGTATTACTTTCCTTTGTGTCTATTCATTATTTATTAAGCACTTAAAATGTGTCAGCTAGGGATTAGGGATATAATGATAAGGTTCCTGTCTTCAGATAACTAATATAGTAACGGAGTCTGCTATGGACTGAATGTGTTCCCCCCAACCCCCTGCCAAACTCCTATGCTGAAGCCCTATTCTTCAGTGTGATTGTATTGGAGATAGGGTCTTTAAGGAGGTAATTAAGGTTAAATGAGATCATAAGGGTGGGGCCCTCATCCAATACAACTGGTGTCCTTATTAGAAAAGGAAGAGACACCAGGAGGGTCCATGCATGGAGAAAAGGTCATCTGAGAATACAGTGAGAAGGAACCAAGGAGAGAGGTCTCACCAGAAACCAATTCTGCTAACACCTTGATTTTAGATTTCCAGGCTCCAGAACTGTGCAAAAGTAAATTTCTGTTGTTGAAGGCACCCAGTCTGTGGTATTCTTTAGGGCAGCTTTGAAGACTAGTGCAAAGACAGATACATGTATCATTTTCTATAAAAGAATATGAAAAGAATAGATGTATAAATCAAATATCTGGAAGGAATAAATTTAATTTTTTTCTAATAAAAATATGAAGATGAGTTACAAAATTTAATCCCTAGAGAGCATGCAGTTTTTTACTTTTGTCTATAGCTGATATGGTCTTCTTCAAGAGGCCCCCCCTCTGGTTTATTGAGAGAAGTGTTAACTAATTGTCTAATCCAGTCTAAAACTTAATCCAACAATTGAAGTAATACAGTGGGGTACTATTCAGGATCTCCAAGAAACTGTTATCAGTCTCTCGGACTTATTACTCTTTGTTCTGCCTCTCAGGTTCATCTCCAACAGGGCATCTGGGTGTGGCGTAAGGGTGGCAGGGGTGGGAAGTTCTTTTGGTGAAGTAGTCTGGCTCTTCCAGCCTCCTGGTGGTGTTCCTTGAGTGCCCAGTTTATGGATGCTCTATGGACCTCCAGTGCTAAAATGTGAGCAAGAAAATTGTGAACCATTCTTTTGGCATCTACAATGTACAGATTGCTCCCTTAGTGGGTTCAGCCTCAGTTTTGCCCATATTGCTGATATAAACAGTAAGCTGAATGTCGCATTCAATACAAGCCTAGGTGGTCCACTCACAGAAGTACACTTCTCTTAGCCATCCAAGGGCCTGTGCTACACAGGAAAGAGTAAAAGTGAATTGGAAAAATAAAATATCAAGTTGTGCCTTTAAAATAATTCTATTATGGCTGAGTCCCCGACAGGATGGTACAAAGAAAAGTATGAGGGGGCCCTCCACCCAAAGTCCCAAATGGGGATGGGGGCGAGGCCTCACTCTGCTCGCAGTGATATTCATTCATAGAAAGGATAGATCTGTTCATCATATTCTCCCACATCTCTCTTTCCTTGACACATTTCTCCAAGATTTGAAAGGGACAGGCTTCTTTTCCATCCTCTTCCTGTCTAGAATGTTTATGTAAATATCTATGGACGAAGTTCCTAAGTCTATGCTAATAATAAATAATGAAATTTGGACAGTCCAGTTCTCAATCACTGAGCTCCAGACTATGGCCTTGCTACAAATTCTATTCTTGAACCTTTATTACTATCTCAAACTGTATCTTTTCATTCCTTTTGGAAGAAACCTTAACCAAATCAAAGCAGAAGGATCTCTTTGGTGGAATATAGTTCAGAAAGGCAAAAGAGTAAGCCACGTAAATAATGTTCAACATATAGATCCTATTATACTCTTGCTGAGTAGCTAGAGGTGAATGATTGATTCTGACTTAAAAATGCTTCCCAGAAGAGATAACCTTTGTGCCGAATCTAGAAGGAAGAAAGGAATATTTGTTAAAATATTTTTAGGATCAGCTCAGTTTAAAAATGCACAACCATGGGTTTTGTCTAAACTGGGCACATTTTTATATCACCAGAGAATAGGCAGCAACAGCAACAAGAACACTTGACAATTATGGATCAAACTCAATAAATCTGAAAAAAAAAAAACTCTTCCATTAGTTGACAGGCACTATAAGGCACCTATTACATGCTATGAATTGTGCCAGGTGTTACCCAAAATGGAAAAGACACACTCCCTATTATCAGGCAACATACAAGCATACTATTGAAAATGCTTAGCTTGCAGTGCAGCACACACATTTTAGAAGGGAAGAAGAGTTGTAATCACTGAGTAGGGTTAAAAAATAATTTTCCAAATGATGAAAGTCAGGTATTTCATAGTAAAATCAGGACTAATCCTTTTATCAGAGTCCCATCTATCCAGTTGTTCAGAGAGTCACAGATGGTACCTCCCTTGCATTCCATGAGAAGAAACATGCTGAAAGATTATGACCAGTATAGGAAAGTTTATTGAAAGATTATAGGTAGAATAGGGTATATTTTGGCACACATGTTTATTATTGAAATTCTATTTACAATAATCACTAAGACTTTTAATCACCTGTCCAATAGGTATTTTTAAGTTTATAAGTTTGCACTCATTATTCTTTAATTTCATAACATTGTAAGAAAAGTTCACAAAATACAATTCTGAAGGCATAATATGTAAATAATCATTTTCCATTTATTGAGTAAAAATTCTCTTAACCTATAATACTATTTTTTATGTAAAATGTATTTTATTGAATACAAAGTAACAGGATATAAATGGAAATGAGGCAGGTAGAAAAACTAGTTTATAGAGTAATAGTGTTATGACTGAAAACAAATATTGTCTGATTAACCAACCAATAAAGTATTAAAATTATCATCTATAAGTATTTTTAAATCAATGACATTCTATAACTTTCATCATTACTGCAACTGGTGGGGACAAGATTGGGTTTCAGAAACAAATAGTGCTGTACTTGTATTCTACTTGTATTGACTCCATACTTTTAGGGAGAAATTACCGTCCTCATGAGTTATCTCATATACTGTTCAACAGCAAATAAAAGTAGAACCTCCTCTTAAAAAATACTGAATTTAGGGCTTCCCTGGTGGCGCAGCGGTTGAGAGTCCGCCTGCCGATGCAGGGGACACGGGTTCGTGCCCCGGTCCGGGAAGATCCCGAGGAGCGGCTAGGCCCTTGAGCCATGGCCGCTGAGCCTGCGCATCCGGAGCCTGTGCTCCGCAACGGGAGAGGCCTCAACAGTGAGAGGCCCGCGCACCACAAAAAAAAAATATATATATATATACTGAATTTGTAACCAGCAAAGTCTTGAATATCTTGAAGAAAATGAAGCCCAGAAATTTATATGTAACACAATCAATGGTGGCTTTGAAATTCTACATAAGTGGGGCTTTAGGACAGAAATCTGGTTAAGCCAAGGAGCTTGTGTTGAAGTTCCATTTGCAGAGCAAGTACACTACTTTTATTTGGGTTGTTAATTATAGTGGATAAAAACATCAGTATTTTATAAAATTGTATTTGGCTCTTACATAAGTTTAAGAAAACACAAATCTTCACATGAAAAATATTATCATTACAGTTGTCCCTCGATATCTGCAAGGGATTGGTTCCAGGACCACCTCGAAGATACCAAAATCCGACGATACTGGAGTTTCGTATGGCATACTAGAGTCGGCTTTATGTATCAACAGTTTCTTCATCTCATGGATGCAGAGAGTCAACCATATTTTTATGTAAGAGACAGTTTAAAATATTATTGGGAATTAATATGTTCTCCCTCCCTCAAGCCATTCAGTGGTACTGACACTGTAGACACATAAAATCATGTGTGAATAACTCCCATATCTTTCTAATACTAACCCTCTCCTAAAGTCAAGAGTTATATATTTACCTTCATTCTCAAAAGCATATTAAACTTATGTCCAAAATTATGTTCATAATTTACTACAGTCCCTCCAAACATTTCTCTCTTTCAGATTTTCTATTTTAGTTAGTTGATGGCACGACCAGCCAGCCAGTCAGCAGACTGGCTTCATTCTTAGTCCTTTTCTTGGCCTCATCTTCTATTATTTATTCCTTCTGTATCTCAAATGGCGGCATCAACGTTCATCCAACAATTCAGGCCAGAAATGTGGAGCAGGCTCATGTCAATATCCCATCTATCTAGCTAGAGAGAAAGTGATAGTAGCAATGTAGATAGTACTTTCTCCCCACCCAATGCAATCAGTCACCAAAGCTGGTAGATCTTACCATCGGAAAAGTTTCTTAGATTTATTCTCTCATATGATAGAGCGGTTGATCAAACTGAACTTTGTGTAAACTTGAACTTGGAAGATTCACATATTTAAGATTCGAGTTCACACACTTGAATACTTTAATTTCATAGCAGAAGACTATGCAAAAGGCAGAACTGGAATGCTGCCCATGTAGCCAAAATGGAAATAAAAAGGGACAAGAAGGTCCTGGAAGTAGATCACGAGACAAAAACTCCATCCCTAAAATTAGGTATAAGACCTGAAGGTGTCAAGAATAGAAGACAAGTTTAAGGCTCTGTGCTACGAGTCTAGGATCTTATACATTTCCTCTGATTAGAGACAAGATTAGTTTAAGGATCAGAGGCAGAACCAAACACCTATACATCCATACATATACACGTACATACACATAAATATAAAACAAAAAAATTCACAGTATATGGCAATATACAAAACTGCAGAAGCCATCAAGTCATTAGTCTTTTTCAGTGCAGCTCTGAAGCTCAAATTCTTAGGTTCTAGCTTGATCTCTGCCATATACTGTATGGTCTTGGAGAAGTAACCTACATACTCTGAGCTTCATCTGTGAAACAGGGATTATAATACCATCTACCCCGTAAGACTTGAGAGGTTTAAGTGAGATAACGCCAGGGGATAAAATAAACAGTTTATTATTACATATTGAAACCTCTTGCAGTGTAATCTTTAACTACAACTAACTTCCTTTAGCATAACACTCTACTCCTTTTTTCCTCTCATCACTATATTGATGACACTCTAGTCCTCATTTCAGGTCATAAAGCTCGCCTATGCCTTGCTTATCTTCATTATTTATTTGGATGTCTCCACTTGAATGGCCTTCGATACATTTTACATATCTGAAACTGAATACATTATCTTCTCTTATTTACTTTATGTGGCAATAGCCTCAGCAAGTAATTGAGAACTTTGGTTGAAAAGACTGCGAAGAAAGACAGCGTTCCTCCCCTTAAGGTAAGTTAACCTTAGTCTTCTCAACTAGATTGTAAACTCCTTAAAAATTTAGAACAATTCTCCTTTTTACTGTTGTGAGGCTGGGCACCCCAGGAGAGATGAAATTGATACGTTGTGGGAGGGTGATGAGGAGGATGTTTCTCATATTTTTTCAGCTGATAGTGTAGCCAGAGAATGACCTTTGTATCCTTGAACAAGTCCTCCTACCTAGAACCTCCCTTAGGGGACAAGTCACCATGGAGTCCCTGTGGGTAGCATCCTTAGTAAAGCAGGCAAGCAGCCCATTACCTAAGGAAAAGTTACTTGAGAATTTTAAAATGAAAGATGACCTTCCTTTGAGGGGTTTGCACCCAGATAGGTATCATATTCTGGAACCAGTCCTAACTCAGCATTCCTGATTCCTTTTGGAATTCCTCTTTCCTTTTACCCTCATGAGATTATCCAATGCCTTTGGCTGTTTCCTCTGTTTGAAGGATCTTCTCCCCAGATATCTGATGGCTCATTCCCTGGCTTCCTTTAACCTTAACTATAAAACAACTTTCTTCTCTTGGGGCTTCCCTGGTGGCGCAGTGGTTGAGAGTCCGCCTGCCGAT